CCTGGACATGGGCTTCAAATGTCGTATTCCTCTTGTCAAGCCGCTCCTGAACAACAAATGTCAGAAGCGTCTTACCTGGGCTAAAGAAAAACAGACCTGGTCTGTTGCTCAGTGGTCCAAAGTCCTCTTTTCTGATGAGAGCAACGTTTGCATCTCATTTGGAAACAAAGGACCCAGAGTATGGAGGAAGAATGGAGAGGAACACACTGCAAGATGCTTGAAGTCCAGTGTGAAGTTTCCACAGTCTGTGTTGATTTCGGGAGCCATGTCATCTGCTGGTGTTTGGTCTACTGTGCTTCATTAAGTCAAGGGTCAACGCAGCCGTCTACCAGGAGATTTTGGAGCACTTCATGCTTCCTTCCACAGACTAGCTTTATGGGGATGCTGACTTCATTTTCCAGTAGGAATTGGCACCTGCCCACACTGCCAAAAGCACTAAAACCTGGTTCAATGACCGTGGGATTACGGTGCTTGATTGTCCAGCAAACTCGCCTGACCTGAACCCCATAGAGAATCTATGGGGCATTGCCAAGCAAAAGAGACATGAGACCGAACAATGCAGAAGAGCTGTAGCCGCAGGCTGATGGCTTCCATGCCACTCTGCCTTGAGGCAGTAATTGCTGCAAAAGGGGCCCAAACCAAGTACTGAGTACATATGCATGCCTATACTTTTTAGAGGTCCGATATTGTTCTATGTACAATCCTTGTTTTATTGATTGCATGTAATATTCTAATTTTCTGAGTTTGTGGATTTGGGGTTTTCATGAGCTGTAAGCCATAATCATCACAGTTATGACAAATCGCGGCTTGAACTATCTTGCTTTGCATGTAATGAGTCTATCTCATAATAGTTTCACCTTTTTAAGTTTCATTACTGAAATAAATGAACTTTTGCACGATATTCAAATTTTTGGAGTTTCACCTGTGTGTGTGTGTGTAAGCTGAAAATCAGAAGTGATGTGCAGTAACCATGCCTCTACATGTTTCGTCCAAAGCCAGATGTGCTCAGACATCACTGCACTGCTCTCCTCCAGTGTATAAATCTCGGAAGGTTAACACTTTAATTGCCACAAATACTGGCAGTGTTACATTTATATAGTTGTAATATTCCAATTTTTGCATTTATATTGAAATAAAACAATAAAAACCTAATAAAATACACAGTCCACCTTGCTACCAATTACTATTTGGACAAAGGTAAAAACAGTTTTTATATACACTTTAATCATTGATCTAAAAATAAGTAAAGGTAAAGCAATTAAAGCCAATATCTATGTTTAATCCTGGGTTTAGTGCGTCTAAATCAAAAATCACGCGGGATTCATTCTGAGAATTCTTTAAAAAAAACAAATTACCACACCAATCACAAGACTGCTCTAACCGCTGATGAGAAGTTTTCAGTAGTTTATATTTACTAAAATAATTGAATTTCCATGTTCTGTGTACTGTGGGAGACCAGATATAGTGAATGCAGTGTCCTGGGTTTAGTAACACTTTAAAGGAAATTCTATTTGTGCAGTTTCATTCTAGACCAGGGGTTGTCAAACTGCGGACTGAAGGCCAGATGTGACCCTTTATTAGCCGGTATTTGGCCTTTTGGGCAATATTATTCCCAAAGATATGAGGTACTATTCCTCCTACTGACACCAACAATGAGGCACTATTTATTGTACTGATAACAATGATGGGTTACTGTCCCCCCCCCCACTAATATTGATGGGCCAGTACTGCTCTTGCTGACCAACAACCCTGAGACCATGTTTATTCTCATTTGATGCAGAGCTTGGGACATTTTCTACCCATCACTGGCCCCCCTAAAGTCTTAAGGACAATAAAGTGGCCCTTTGTTTGAAAAGTTTAGAGACCCCTGATCTAGACTGTTGTGGGACAAGTCAGTCAATTGCTTAGACAGGATTGACTTACTTGTTTGGCACTGGTGACTCAGTAATCTAGTTTTGGTATTAGGGAAGGCCTTCCTTTTTTCATCTTCTTTCCTCACAACAGATGCCAGGCTATCAAGCTGGGGAGGTGTTCTGAGCGTTCTCTCCCTGCAGCTGATTTGTTCATGGTCAGTCTACTCTCCTGATCAACATCCTGGAACTTCCAGTGATTTGACCATCTCTGCAGCGTCTGACCATCCTGCTGAAAGGTCATCTGATCTGGTACTTTCCTGATGTTCATGGTGTTGTCCAAATAAATCCGGAAGGGTTACTGTGGCAGGACAGGTATTTCAGATCCTGTTTTCTCAGAACCTACATTCTTGCCTTGTTCACTGTGTACCCATGTTTTGAGGAAGAGGGACCTATCTGGATCTGTGATGCCTATGATCCGAAGGGCTCATGTACACGACTGCTTGAAAATGTAGGTTAAAAAAACATCAGTTTAGCCACGTTTGCATACCGCGTTTAATGTGCATTTGCGTTCAGAAGCGTTTTTAAAAGATAATCTCAGGAGACCCTCCCAAATGCCCAGAATGCATTGAAAAATAGTAAATAACTATTTCAGTCATTTTGAGAGGAATAGAGCAGAAACGGAGAGCAGTATGTGTTGAGATTACCTGTCTTTTCTGGTTGTATTCACTATGGATTCCATCATGAGCAAAATGCAGCATGTTCCATTTTTTTTTTTTTTTACCCGAAACCTGGAATGGATTGCACTGGTGTACTAGGTCCACTTGAATACATGGAAAACGCTTTGCATGCATTTCTGATGAAAAAGGCTCTGGACAGCATCTGGATATGGAACAGTTAAACACTTATAAAGGCGTTTACATGCGTTTGGTGTTTTAAATGCCGGTAAAATCTACTCCTGAATGCAAGTTTGGTGCATTAAAATAAACTACTGTAAACTGCCTGTAAATGACTGTGTACATGGACACATAGGAAAACATGGAGAGTTCAGGGGCTGCTGAGAAAAACGCTGAACAGCTCCTAAACGTTAGTTTAGCAGCTGCAGTGTACATGAGCCCCAAGAAGTCTGCCACAAGAACTGTCAATGTGGAAGGCAAGTTTTACTTGGTATTGGTCAAGGCCCAGGAGTTGCCCTTGTAAAGCGCTGCATAAACTGTTGGTTCTATAATAAATCCTGTATAATATCTACAATGCTTGAAAAAGTGCTCTTACACCTTGAAGTTTTCTACATTGTCATTTTACAACCAAAAAGATAAATGTAGTTTCTTGAGTTTTTACGTGATACACCAACACAAAGTGGCCACATTATTGTAAAGTTGAAGGAAAATTAGAAGTCTTCTTGGGTATGTCTCTACCAGCTTTGCACATCTGGAGAGTGAATTTTTTGCCCATTCTTCTTTGCATAATGGCTCAAGCTCTCCGATTGGATGGACAGTGCCTGTGAACAGCAATTTTCAAGTCTTGCCACAGATTCTCAATTAGATTTAGGTCTGGACTTTGACTGGACCATTCAATCACACAAATATGCTTTTGATCTAAACCATTCCATTGAAGCTCTGGCTGTATGTTTAGGGTTGTTATCTTGCTGGAAGGTGAACCTCCACCCCAGTCGCAAGTCTTTTGCAGACGAACTGGTTTTCTTCTATGATTGCACTGTATTTGGCTCCATCCATCTTTCCATCAACTCTGACCAGCGTCCCTGCTGAAGAAAAGCATACCAACAACATGATGCTGCTACCTCCATGTTTCATGGTGGGGATGTGTTCAGGGTGATGTGCAATGTTCGTTTTCCACCAGTGTTTTTTTGCTTTTACCCCACATGGCTTCTCGTAAACTGCAAACAGAACTTCTTATGGCTTTCTTTCAACAATTGCTTTCTTCCTTCCACTCTTCCCAGGGATGTTGAATTCCTATCGCCCGACGCTCGGGACATGTAGTTCCGGGAAGGTAGTTTTTTTTTTTTTTTTTTCCTCCTTTAGCTCTGCTGCGGGCAACCAGTGGGCTCACCTGTCAGGTGAAGCAATCGGCGGCAGCGCCAGTTACTCTGCATCACCGCTGTGAGGTTTCCCAGGCTCAGTTTGCCCATCTGCAGGTCTGGCTCGGCGTCGGCTAGAGGGGAGGGAGAAGAGCGGACAAGTCCACTCCCCTTCTTGTGCTGACCTGGAAGTGACGTTACAATGTCGCTTCCGGGCCACCGATGAGAGATTGCAATACAATCCCAGGGGAAGAATGTAATATGGTGCAGTGTGCACCACATTACATTCAGTGGAGCAGAGGGGAGATATGCAGGGTCTTTTAGACCTAAGATTTCTCAGAGAACCTGTCACCAAAAATTATCACATGGGGGACTTTGTTCCTTATGTGACGAGATAATTTTTTTTTAATTGTAAAAATGATAGTTACATCAAAGCACATACCCCCCCCCCCCCCCCCAAAAAAAAATATTGAGGCCTCCACCTCCACATATATGCACGTACAAACATAAACGCACACGCTGGGGTGCCTATGCATGAAACCGTTGATTGCAATACTCATGTCACATATTGCCGCGCACGCCAGAATGAGAGCGATCATTCTAGCACCAGACCACCTCCGTATACTACACTTGTGACCTATGAGGAGCTTTAAAAGTGTTGACCTATAGAAAATATAGGGTACTGAAGTTCATCACAATTTCACAAGTGCGTACAAATTTTAGGTTTGGCAAGTTGGATATCTATTTACTCGCTGCAACCTCATCTTTTTATATTTTACAAAAAAAATGGTAAATTATTATTTTATTTTTTTTGTGCCCTAAAATTAACTACCGTATTTTTCGCTCCATAAGACGCACTTTTTTCCCCCCAAAAAAGGGGGGGAAACGTCAGTGCGTCTTATGGAGCGAATATAAAGCGGCCGGTCCGGTATTTCTGCCACCACCATGTCAGAATACCGGGCCGGCCACTCAGCTGTTCTCTCCTGCAGGGCCTTACCTGTTCCTCGCTCCAGCGCTGCACAGTCTTCCCGCGCTGTCTTCTGTGACAGCCGGGTGCCCACTGCGCATGCATTGCGCTTTGTGAATGGTCCAGTGTTTTCTGGGGCACATGACAGGTCCCAGAAGGCGCCGGGCCATTCACAAAGCGCAGCGCTTCTCGCGCATGCGCAGTGGGCACCCGGCTGTCACAGAAGCCGGTGCGGGAAGAAGAGAGACAACACCGCGGAAGTGGGAGCGGGTACCTGTCAAATTCAGGTACCCACTCCTCCTCCCTCCCCAAAGGTCAGCAGTCTCTGGTCATCCCCTGCACTGTCTGCAGTCTCTGGTCATCCCCTGCACTGTCTGCAGTCTCTGGTCATCCCCTGCACTGTCTGCAGTCTCTGGTCATCCCCTGCACTGTCTGCAGTCTCTGGTCATCCCCTGCACTGTGTCCGCAGTCTCTGGTCATCCCCTGCACTGTGTCCGCAGTCTCTGGTCATCCCCTGCACTGTGTCCCGCAGTCTCTGGTCATCCCCTGCACTGTGTCCGCAGTCTCTGGTCATCCCCTGCACTGTGTCCGCAGTCTCTGGTCATCCCCTGCACTGTGTCCGCAGTCTCTGGTCATCCCCTGCACTGTGTCCGCAGTCTCTGGTCATCCCCTGCACTGTGTCCGCAGTCTCTGGTCATCCCCTGCACTGTGTCCGCAGTCTCTGGTCATCCCCTGCACTGTGTCCGCAGTCTCTGGTCATCCCCTGCACTGTGTCCGCAGTCTCTGGTCATCCCCTGCACTGTGTCCGCAGTCTCTGGTCATCCCCTGCACTGTGTCCGCAGTCTCTGGTCATCCCCTGCACTGTGTCGCCGCAGTCTCTGGTCATCCCCTGCACTGTGTCCGCAGTCTCTGGTCATCCCCTGCACTGTGTCCGCAGTCTCTGGTCATCCCCTGCACTGTGTCCGCAGTCTCTGGTCATCCCCTGCACTGTGTCCGCAGTCTCTGGTCATCCCCTGCACTGTGTCCGCAGTCTCTGGTCATCCCCTGCACTGTGTCCGCAGTCTCTGGTCATCCCCTGCACTGTGTCCGCAGTCTCTGGTCATCCCCTGCACTGTGTCCGCAGTCTCTGGTCATCCCCTGCACTGTGTCCGCAGTCTCTGGTCATCCCCTGCACTGTGTCCGCAGTCTCTGGTCATCCCCTGCACTGTGTCCGCAGTCTCTGGTCATCCCCTGCACTGTGTCCGCAGTCTCTGGTCATCATTTTTCTTTCTTGTTTTTTTCGCCTCTAAAACCTAGGTACGTCTTATGGTCAGGTGAGTCCAAAAATTGGAACTACCACTGTTTTATTTTCTAGGGTCCCTGCTTTCAGAAAATGTTTGGGGGTTTTATGTAATCTTCAGGCGTAAAAATTATTTTTTAAACGTGTGCAAAAATGGCTCCGGCAGTGAATGGGATAAAGTATAAGCCCTGACCCCCCCCCCCCCCCCCTCCCCCTTTTCCTGACGAGCAGCCAATCTGTGCTCATGACACTGCAAGGTCTCTCACCTCCCTGTTAGTCCCTGGGTGCGGTGCTGGAGACAGGCAGGGGGTGGAATAGATAAAATATTACACGTTTAAGTTGCAAGAAAGCCCATTTATGTTTTTAAATAGCCCCAGACATTCCAAAAATCACCTCCAATTTAAATAGTTTTGTTTAAATTTTTGTTATCTGGACAAGTAATTGGGGTCCTGATTTTAGTCCCTGGACAAGTAGTTTTTAAAAAATTTCCACACCCTTGCTTCCATAAAGGCCAGATTTGTGGAGTGCACAACTAATGGTTATCCTGTGGACAGCCTTGTCTTGGTAGGCTTGCGGTTGTGCCATATGCTGTCCATTTTCAGATGATGGATTGAACTGTGCTCTGTGAGATGTTCAAAGCTTGGGATTTTTTTTCTTTTTTATAACCTAATCCTGCTTTAAACATCACCACAACTTTATCCCTGACTTATCTTGTGTTCCTTGGCCTTCATGATGCGGTTTGTTCACTAATATTCTGTGAAGCCCTCAGAGGTTTGTTAGAGAACAGCTGTATTTATACTGAGATTAATTACACACAGGTGGACTCTATTTACGAATTGACTTCTGAAGGCAATTGGTTCCACTCGATTTTAGTTAAGGGTATCATAGTAAATGCTGAATACAAATGCATGCCACCCTTTTCAGATATTGTATTTGTAAAAAATTTTGAAAACCATTTTAACATTTTCCTTATACTTCACAAATATGTGCCACTTTGTGTTAGTCTATTACATAAAATCCCAATAAAATACATTTACGTTTTGGTTGTAACATGAAAAAATTTGAAAAATTTCCAAGGAGTATGAATACTTTTTCAAGGCACTGTATGGAGAAGTATCATTGTCACCCTAGTCTTCTCTCCTGATTTTGTACTACAAACATCTAAAATGCCTACTTCTCTCCCTATTATAATTGATAATTTGATTTTTGTTATGAAATATTACAATTTGCAGATTTACTACTGGTGGTAATTTTGAATTACCACAAATTTTTCCAAGATTGGCCAGCCAAGCAAATTCAACCCAAGATCTGACTACTGGATGCTGAAATGCACTCCAGGAATCCCAAAAATATAATTGCAGCGTCTGTAGGCAACTCTTGCCACAGTATGAATCTTCAATAAGAAAATAATTGCACCAATTTATCTTGCATGGTAGGTGTGCCAGGAAAAAAGCCTTCATTGTCCAAAAAATATTACAGGCTATTAGACTTTAGTTTGTCACTACATATTTAGACAACTACCGTGCCTTCTAGATCGATGTGCTGTGGATATGAAATATTAGTTTGATCACAAATCCCAGAGTCATGCTTGGCACAAACTGAATTCAGCATTTCAGGAAAATGTCATACCGACTGTGAAGCATGGTGATGGAAATGGTATGGTTTGAAGACTGGTATGTTAAACCCCCTTCCTGTCCCGTTTTTTTTTCAGCACAGTGATACTTTGACTCGTCATGCAACACTACTCAATTTATTTTTTCTTTTTTTGAGACCGTGTTTTTTGGTGGTGTTTACCACTGTTTTTGTTTTGTTTTTGTTTTTTTGTTTTTACTATCTACAGAAAAAAGGTGATTTGTGCTAGTTTCTGCTATAGAAATTTGCAAATAATAATTTTTCATTAAGTTTAAATCAAAATGTATTCTATATTTTGTTTAAAAATAAAAGCAAAAACAAATGAGTATTTAGTCCTCATGCACACTGGGCTTTTTACAGTTGCTGTTTTTGGCTTTTGATGTTTTTTTTTCTACAGCCAGTAAACTCCCCAGCATGTTATCCTATGTGTCCATGCACACATAGACAGTAATCAAAGTTTTTTGGCTGGAAAAAAAAAAACCGGACTAGTGGGTTTCTAGAGGAGTTTTTTAGCTGTAAAAATGCTCTAACGCTGAAAAATGGCGTAAATCGCCACAAAGCGGTGTTTTTGGACTTTTTTTTTCTTTTTTTGTAAAAAAAAAAAAAATAAACTAAATGCAAACGCTAAGTACTATAGATTTAGAAATTTTGTAACCATGATGTTCTGATGGCCTCATTTCTTGAGGCCAGTGACATGGGCCTAATGTGTTCATGTTGGAGGCTTTGGTTCAACTTTTAGCCCATGATATTCACACTAGTGACTGACTGCAGTGGATGTATTATTATTTATTCAGGATTTTTATAGCGCCAAAAGTTTACGCAGCGCTTTACAACATAAGGGCAGATATTCCAATACAAATTATTACACGAAGATTCAGAGGGCCCTGCTAGTTAGAGCTTACAATCTGACTGTATGTGTTGTATCCTTTCTTATCAGAATGCCCTACCTGTGCAATACAAATTAATACAGGGACCCCAAAGCTTACAATGAAGTTGCATGATTTCAAAATTGGGTGAACTGCCGATTTCAGTTGCGATTTGCCAGACATCTGACACAAATGTCTATGCAAATCGCAACAAAAGTAGTGCATGCGGCTCCGACCAAGTCAGAACCGCACAGATATGACCACTCTAATAGCGGACAATAGGGTGCAACTTGGCATACAATTTGTAAGTCGCATGCCAAGTTGCACCCGATGTGACTGGGGTGTTAGGGAATTTTGTGTGTTACCTATCTTAACTGATCTACTTGTCCCTGGTTTTAGTGATTTAAGTTTTAAAGCAATCAACAGCCAGGCAACTCAAACTTTGGTGTAACTAAAGGCAAAACGGTTTCTTAGTTTTGTATAGATTGGAGGGACTAGTACACAATTGGGTCCTTATTGCTGTCTATGCCCCTGTTAGCAAGATTTCACCCTCTATTACCATTATCTAAAGTGAAAGTAAAAGAAAATACAAAATGTTGGGTTGACATCGGAGCACTAATAGAGGGGAACTCTCCAATGGGAATACTAGTTCTGGGGACTCTGGTGACATACTGGGATTTCCTCACTTTAGAAGGATTTCCTCTTGCTTGCTATTTTAGCTATGGAGCAAAGTGAAGGGAAACCTCCCCAATGGGACATGGATGTCACAAAAACCTGACGAGAGTTATAACCCTCCCTTTACACTATCTAAAATAAAATAAAAAAAAGTTTGGCCTTTTAGTGAAGGCCAGCAATGTTCCAAGAGTTTTCTCCTAAAAGCTGCATGAAAAATAAATATGCTTATTGATATAAGCAATCTTCTTTCAAAATTAACTGGACCAACACTCCCAGAGAGCACTTTACGTCTTTTGCAACCTTTTTCCTCTCCAAAATCCTAAAGTGCAATGTTACCCATAACTTGATTAAAAAAAAAAAAAATGTTCTTTAGTAAGGAACATACATTCCACATAAATAATTTTGCTACCAAAATTAGTGTGTTCTGTAAATTGCCTCCATGATTGCTCCTGTATCTTCTTGCTGGAGACTGCCATTTTGCTGAAGTTCAGAGTAGGGGAGTAGCAGTAAATCTTTAGGCTGTCAGCAGGTTGACATCTAGGTTGTGCAGGTTTTCAGCACCATGGCAAAAAAATGAAACTAAATGAAAAAATGAAACTGCTAAATACCTTTTCTTATCAGCAGTTATAACATCAGTGTGACTATCAGTGTCTAAACAAGCACATGTAAAAGCGTGTAGGAGTTTTCATTTTGGTCTAAGAGAATGCAGGACACCTGACCTCTATGTGGAGAGTGCTGGTTGGCCCTGTGCTGATCACATGCACTCTCTCAAGAAATAAAATCTCTAGCAATACACACAAAATTGAGCATGTGCAGAGTGACTCCACACACTGTCAGGAGATAAAAGGGGGACACTGGAAAAAGGGGAGGTTCAAAGATTGATTTATTTTTTATATTTGTCAGCCGCCTCTGCCTCCATTTTTGCCCAGGAAAAAATTGTTTACTCTGCTCCAACAGCCTCCTGATGTATCCACTTCAGTTGTCCCAGGAATCCTCCGCTTACAGAAAGTGGCTAGAGGTGGGTGGATCTGGTGGTGTCATCAGGGGGCTGGCTGCAAGAACCTAGAAGAGACGACCAACTCCCGATCTTGTGAGGATAGACGCTGGCATGCCATGTTGGATCACTGCAGGACAATGCTGGATTCACTGAGCGTGTATATATTTGGGCATAACCCAGTGTTAAGGGTAAGAGGGGGTTAAAAGCTAAATTAACCAGTGAAGCTTGATTTAAGCCAGTATCCTTTTCCTTTAGACTGTACTTCCTAAAAGTCATGGACATTTTAAGAAAGCAATAACCTATTTTTTGTGTGGTAACCTTTGAATTTCTGT